CATCAATTCCACTCTTAGGCAGAATACACAAGAGAAAAGTGAAAATATATCTCCACCTAAAAACATGCATGCAAATATTCACAGCAGCATTTTACACAACTGCTCTAATGGAAAACAACCCAATTTATGAGAATGGATTAATAAAACATGGTATATATAGCTTCAGTTTTGTAAGATGAAAAAGTCCCAGAGATCTGTTTCACAACGTGAATACACTTAGCATTAGAGAACGGTACATTTAAAAAATCTGGCATATTTATACAATGGGATGTGATCTGGCAATAAAAAGAAATGAAATACTGACACATGCTTACGATGTAGCTGAACCTTAAAAACATGAGAGAAGCCAGTCAAAAAGTGATGATATAAATATATGAAAAAAATTACATATTGTATGATTTTATTTACACTAAATGTTCCTAATAGGCAAATCTACAGATTAATGTTTGTCAGGGGCTGGTGGAATTGAGAAGGGTGGACAATGACGTCTACTAGGGACGGAGTTTCTTTTCGGGTGATAAAATGTTCTAAAATTGATTGTGGTAATGGTCACATAACTCTAAATGTACTATAAACACTGTTGGACTATAAACTTTAAGTGGGCCAATTGTATGGTATATGAATTATATCTCAATAAAGCAGTTTAAAATGTATATGTAAATACTAAGTGACTTTCTACCCTGACATTGTTTGGCCTAATAAAATGCCTTCAACTTTGGGGTCCACATCACATCGATTTTTCCTTTTTAAGTTTAAGGATCCATCTGATTGATATACTTGAAATCCTCATGCCGCTCTTAACTCTCCTTGCTGCTCTGTTCTCTACATTCCCTCAACAGGTGCTCCATGCTCCTGAGGGGCGGGGCTGCAGGGTTACCTTGGTAACCATAAATAGCCACAGAAAGACCTCGACAGAGAGCTGTTGGGCCTTAGTGAGACTAGAAAACAAAGCCTGACATTCTTCTCACCAAGAAGGGATTTTATATGATATAGGGATAGGCTTGAAGGCTAAAGAAAAGTAGAGAACTAAAGGAATGGTCTACAAAAGCCACAACACTTGCAGAAACACGATAACCTGGCTGTATTTTTGTACAGTCTGCTATGAGTGTTATAAACAAGCATTCTCAAACAGGAGTCTAAGGATCTCTTAAAAAACTACAGACACATTCAAGAGTCTATGACTTCTCCAGAATAATCTTTCAATCTGCATTTTCATCTCAATGTTAATCTAAAGGAAACTGATATAAATGTACATTGGACCATCTGAATGACCCCCTTAGCAATACTGTTCCCAGGTGTATATTTACGATTGCCGTAGTACTGAGTGTTCCTTGTCAGCCATTAGACTCCTGGGGTGCTGGTAAGCACACATGACAATGAAAAAGTGTAATTTAAGACTGTCATTGAGTAAGACTTCGATTTCATGGCACCATAAAATGACAAACAGTGAAGGAATGTACTATAGTAACTGTCAGCCTGATGAGGAAAGGACAGAGGCAGACTTGATACACAATCCATAGAATCACACCAAGGGAAGGCCAAATGACATGAAGGTATGTGCTACACGTGAACGTACTGCAGAACAAAGGTTTCAAAAATTACAAAGAGGAGGCAATAAGAAAGAGTTCCATTCAAGTTGTTTTCAAAATAATGTGAATGAGTCATTTCTATAATCTACTGACTTCCTTCAACATTCTGACACTTTCAGCTGCATGCTGAAGACCTTAAAAATTTTCCATATCAGTAAGAACTAAAATTTACAAGCATATTCCTGACCCTGATTCTGCCAATAATTGAATTAGATATGTATTTGGAGTTGATGTCAGTAACTCTGAAATGGTAACATCATCTTTGAATGAACAGGACATTTACAGCTCTAACAAAAAAGTTGTAAGTTATTAAAATCATTAAAATTGCAACTAAAGAGCTCTTCACCGGCAGACTGGTGGTCTGGTAAGTTCCGATAGTCCTGAGCTAGCAAGCAAGGCCTTCGAGTCCATAATGTGCTTCTGAGTAACTTACTTATGCAAGCAAGTATTCTCTGAACTACTGTTATCAAAGTCAAAAGACTCATATGCATTAAGTACATATTTGGACCCAATGCAACAACTTTATATTTAAAAAAAAAATTAACATAAATGATTTGGCTTTGGCAAAAAAGCATCTTATTGTTAATTTAAATTTTAATAGTTTTAAAGTATTATTTGTATGTGTGATTTTAAAATATTTTAATAGTTTTATAAGAACTATAAGCATAGAAGGTATATATTATTTCATGTTTATACATATTTAATACAATTAAGCAAAGTAAAGTCAACAAAAATTGTTTTTGAAAACTCCTTTTAAAGAAACGAAATTCATTCCCAGGTTGTGTGCTAAGCACTACTACAGGTAATAATACAGGAATGATCTGGACCACATTCATTCATTCTAAAACACCTGAGATCCTACTGTATACTAGGTATTGGGACATAGTAGGGAACACGATAGACATATTTATGCTCTCATGGGGCTTGGAATCTATTAGAAAAGGCAAATAAATGTAATAAGTGAAATGTTGGAGACGTATAATGTTCTACGGTGACAGCAAGGAGACCTAATCCAGTTCAGAGGTTAGACAGAGCTTCTGGAAAGACATTAAGTTAAGACAAAAAGAAGACACACGAGTTAGCCAAATAAAAGTGAAGTAGCAGAGGAGGAAAGTGTGTGCTAGGCATCAGACACACCCTGTTGTTATGAAAACTTGTCCAGTAAGAAATACAGAAAGTTTTGTGTGTCTGGAAGATGGTGGGGGGAGGGGACGTAAAGTTCTCTCTAGAGCTTTAGACTAGAAATGGAGGCCGAAATTTCCTGGGGCAAGGTCTTGATGTCTTCAGGACTCTGGCTTTTAACTCCTTATTAAGGAGTTCCCGGGACAATGAGAAGTGACTGGAGGGTGTTAAGGAGGTCACTAAGGTTTCAAGGTATAGAGAGCACTGGGGTTCAGAGGCAGCTGCAGCAGTCCAGGCAAGACATGATGGGGGCTGCAGCTGGAGCTGTGGATTCCAGTAGCATACAGGAAGACAGTCAAGAGACATCAGATAAAATCTGAGATAGAATTAAGAGGGTTTGGCAATTCATCACAGCTGGGAGTTAATTGAGAAGGTTAGGAAAATGTTCAAACGGTAACTGGGGGATAGTGGTGTCTTTCACAAGATGAAGGAAGGGTTATAAATTCTTGCAAACTGAGGACCACCTGCATTCAAAGACTGCTTTGTACAAGTTTGAAAAAGTGTTTTTGTTTTTCTTGCATTTTCTTACCTCTGCATCTATGAAGAACAGTTTTTAAAAAACAAAAATACTACTGACTTGCATTATCACTCACACCCAGAGGCAGCAATATTCAAAACAAGTCTGTGTTCTTTTTGGAAAGTCTTGGTTCAAAGACAAAAAACAGAACAGACAAATCTTTTGATCCTCACTATTGACATGGTGCCTCAATGCAAACCCTAGTACTACTTAAGACCTTTCTTTGATGGGACAATGGAGCAAGAGCTCAACATCGCAGGCATTTAGTTTTAAGAGGTTCCAGCTCTGCATTTTATGCCATAAAAACAGGGATTTAAATATCAAAAGAACCGGACTCAATTTCAAGTGACCAATGCACCTGGCAGAATTTAACCCAGCATAAAACCTCTTCATGCAAATTCACAATTTTCTAAGAACAAACAACCCTGAGAAATTCTTCCCATGACCCACTCCCTCGTGAACATTTTTAATATTTCAAAAGTACTTAAAAACCGGAACAAAGCAAGTTTAAAATCTCAAAGGGTCAGAGCAACTGGAATGAGTTTAAGAATGCATGATACATGAGAGACACCAAGGCTTTATAAACAGGGCATCTTCTTTCTTCACACCAAAGCACAAGAAAACAAAGGAAGAACTAAACTAACACAGACAACAGAAAATATCACATGAAAGGAAATTCATGTCTGGCCTACCCTGCAACAGAAAAATCTCAAATAAACAAGCTTAGTTTCCATGGGCTCTCTGAAAGCTAGGAGGAAAAAGGAACAGCACAATCATTTTTAGCGTCTTGAAAGTGAGAGACAGAAGTTTATTAATATTCCAGGTTATTAGGATCACTAAGAGGAAGCAAATAGAAACTGAGGTTCCCAGGCCGCCTTCCCTGCCTCTGCTTCAACACAGCTCAGCCCATTATCCACCTGTGTACTGCGTGATCTACACTTTAGGTCTGCCTCTGCCTCTTCCTCCAGGGGCTACAGACCAGAAGACTATCTATATGGGCAGCCCTTTATTTTATCCAATCAATGCTTGTGCTGCACCTGCTATGTGCCAGTCACTGTTCTAAATTCTTCACAAGTAAGAGCTCATGTAATCCTCGTAACAACTATATAAGGCCGGCACTATTATTATTCTTGTTTTACACACAAAGAACTGAAGCATGAGAAGGCTATAAAACTTGCCCAAAGTCAAACAGCTAGGGAGGGATACAGCTATTTGAATCCACTCTTCATCATCTGACTAGGGAGCTACGAAGGTCATTTTTAATTCTCCTTATTTCCTATATGTTCTTTACATGAGAATTTATTACCTTTATAATAACAAAGAACTAAAAGCCTTTTTATTTGTAAATGTAAACCAAAAAATAAATTTAAAAAGGCCTTGAATATCTGATCCATGAAATCACGGGAAAAAATACCCTGTCTGCTGAAAGCCAAGGGGTCAGGCTAGATGATCTTCCTTGGATCATCTGTCATAGAAAGATCTTCAATTCCATACTCTGCTCCCCCTTTACTTGGGGAGTAAGGAAAGCAGAAAATGTTAAAAAAAAAAAAAAAAAAGGATGGCAATAATGAATATCTGCTCTGGAAAACTCACCTGGGATCCAGTTCCAGTTTATAAGCTGTACAACCTGGAACAAGTTGTCTACGCTTTTCAAGCCTCATTTTGTCATATGACAATAATGGATACAGTTACACCCATCTCCTAGAGATAACTCACAGAAAGGCTGAAAAGCACAAACACATCCAGCACAGAGAAGAAATCAAAAAAGTGCTAAACACAGGAGAACAAAACTGTCCAAAGATTTGCCTACTTCAATTATTCCTAAGCTAGAGCAACCAAATAAATGAAAAATTTTATAAAATCATTTAACATAGACAAAAGAAGAACAAAAGGTTTTTCATTAACACCTAAGCAAGCAGTATAGGCTAACAGGGTGTATATAGCCTTCTTTGAGTTACAAACAAATGACTCCCAGGTCCAGAGGTTGAAGTCATGGTGGTACACTGGATGTAAGAAAATAACAACACTGTTAGGGGCCACATCTCCCTTTTTAGTATCAAGAGTTATGTTTCAAGGAAAAAGTCACTTCACTTTTCTGATCTCCATTTTATTTTAACAGAAGAAAGTCACTGCACTGCATAGAGTGACCTGAAAGGCTCATTCTAGCTCTAACAATCTGTATTTCTCTAGCAGTATAACCAGCGCTTTTAGTCATGAAGTATATACTAATGAGATTCTACCACTTTTCTAAATGACATCACTCTGCCAAGCAAGTGCGTCTTCATACAGTTTGTAATGAATCAATGTTTTATATTGCCTCTTTAGTAACTACAGCTATTCCCCAAAATTATGTTAAATGTTCCCATTAAAGAGGATGAATCATTCTGGCCCTTCTGGATCTGATATTCTTCTCTCTCAAATATAATTATTTGTAATTAGAAGCCTGGCTCCAAAACCAGAAACTTAAATGAAGAAAAAAATAAATGTTACCAGCATACTACATCCATTAGTCCCTGTATAAAACCCTTTCCTCTATCTATACCCAACTGCTATCTGATGCTTTTGTGGAGCAGAATGTGTTATAGTACACATAAGATAGCTAAAGTAGCAATAAATTTTGGCTTTGTCAAGGTCTTCGGGGATGCCCATATGTCAAGTCCAGAGGATACAGAGAACCAATACCTGTTCACTGACTTGTCCAGTTATGAGACATGGATGGTGATGGTACCGAAGGAGTTCAGGGCATCCCTGGGCACCACTAGTAGGCCCTAAGACACAGGTATTAATAGAGAAGAGGACAATAAAAGGTGAAAAAGTCATTAAAGGCTCTACAGTGAATGAATGGGAAAGCAGGAAAAGAAGAAAGGAAGGAAAAGGGGCACAGAAAGAAAAAGTATAGAATTACAAAGTCAGTGAGAATAACTAAACCATGTGCTTTATATATGTTAAAGTCACACAATAATCCTCATACCATTTTGACCTCATTTTAAAGAAAAGGAAACTGAGGCTTAGTGAATTTAGCTGACTTTTCTAAGGTTATACAGTTAGCAGGGGACAGAGGTGGTATTTAAGCATGGGCTTTTCTAGTATAAAGCTTGGGACTGAATGGTATGTACACACTGCATAAACTTAGACAGCATCCCTGCCCTGCCCTCCCATGAAGTTTGAAATCTCCCTACTCCCTTGGCCAACGATGGACAGACTCTCAAAAGAGCCCTTAGTGCTAAGGCCCTGGACGGCACCTGGCAATTCAGTCCAGCTCTGTATGGCTTTGAAATTGATTTGTTTCTTGCATTAACCTAAACTATGTCTCCCTGCAACTTCTACCTATCTTTATCCCAGAAAATTATCAGATCTGCAAATGAAGTTTCCTATAACAGCCCTTCCAAGTAACTTTAAAAGGGAGAATGGAGAATGTTAAAAGAATTCTAAAGAAAATCTAAAAAAAAAAAAAAAACGCACAAAATGTGTGTATATTCTTAAATTGGACTTGTAAGAGTAAAGAGTCCTGGGATCAATAAACTTACTAAGGAGAAGGATGAAAGCGGGCTTGGTCTTTGGTTAGTTACTTCATGGAGGATGATGTAAAACTTAAGAAAGGAATCAGAGTTGCCTTAATTAACTTTCAGCATAAAAGATTTAGTTTAAAACACTATTGATCTAAGAGAGATCAGAAAGTATTAAGGTTTTTCTTTCTTCCAGAAAAAAATTGTACATTTTCTTTATCTTAGAACGGTTCAGATATAAGCCTGCCTTAAGTAGGAAATTTGTAAGCTTTCTTGCCCAGCACTGGTGAAAACTTACTTAGTATTAAGAGGCTCACCTAACCAGTGACCTTCAAGTCAAACAAACTATCTGGCTTTTACGCCCCGTCCATAAAGTGGCAACAATACTTGGCAAATAGGTATTCTGAGACTGCTGTAAAAACGTTGCTTTTTGGCCTTACTGTTACTGACTCAAAATATGATTCTTCATCTAGAATTAAATACAAAAAGAGGCAGAGAAATTTACTTTTGCAAATGTCTAAAATATCTCACATATTTTATACATTGTATGTAAATGCTTATTAAATGTATAAATTTAGCAATCATATAAATATTATTTTGGTGCTCGGTATTTTTACATAGTACTGCCAAAGTAATTTTTGTCATTTAACAATTTTCACTTTCCTGTTTACAACCACCTCTTGGGAGCACAAAATGGAAGGCAGTCTCTTTGTCAATGCACTCCCATTAACATCTAGATCGTGTACTGGCCTCCATGCAGGATCACAAGCTCTCACTTTTTCCAAAGAGCAAATGATTAGGAAACATAGAGGAATTATCATGAAATAAATGGATGAAAAGGCAAGTAGAAAATAGGGGCTACCAATCTTTTCCTAAGAGTAGTTATTATGGTTCACATTTATAAAAGCAAAGATCACCTATTATACGTTATGTTCTTTTGGGGTAAAGAACATAAAGGGTGCAAACAATTGGGGTTACAAATAATCCTCTTTTCCTGTATTGAAAATAATGAGGGGATTATTTCTTCCTCCAATTCACAATCCTTAACCCCAAACCATTTCTCACTCAAGTATTTTCACAGCTATACCTGAGAAATAAAGAGGCAGATAGATGTTATAAAGATAATTTTGACAAGTTAAAAACCGAGAGAAGGGTCCAATGTCAGCAGGTCAAAGGTCCCAAGGCCAACAAAGGTAAATGCTTAGATAAATGTGTTAAGATAATAACAACTCCTAGAATTCTCATCATTGTTTGCCACTACTATCTCTGTGTATGGAGTAGCTCATTTGAAAATAAGTTTTGTTTTGTTGTTTTGTTTTTTTAAAAGAGTCAAATAACCTAGCTTTGCTGTTACTTACCATTATTCCCCACAACTACCGAATAGTCTTGTATGCAAATTTAATGACTTGTAATGCAAATTTAAAAATTCAATTACATTTTGAGCTTAGCTTAATAAGCATCCCAACGATTTGATTTCTGACCCCTCTACTCCTTATAAGATTCCTCAAAAATATTGTAAAGAAAATTTATTAAATGTATTTATAATCCCTTAAATAACAATTGTTTGCATTTTGTGTTCAATATTTGTATAGACTTTAACATAGCTGTAATACTCAGTGTACTGTGAATGAATTCTTTTTTACATTTATGTTTTAAGTTTTATAATTGTTTTATGTCAAAATGTTTAATTCTATTAACCAGACTATAACTATGACTTCATTTCTTGTCTTAAATGAAATTTGTTCTAATAATAAGCTATATTAAAATGGAGGCCTACAATTTTTCATCTGAAGTACAGAAAAAGGCATTTGCTTTTATAAACTTCCTTCTCTCAGAACATTCAAAAAATTTCACTTGTCATTTGTTCACTTTAATGCAGCAGGTAAGCAGCAAAAAAAGAAAAAGTCCAAATTTTACAGGCTACTAAAATGATATTTACAAAATTTATAACTTTCTTGAAAACACCTGCAAGGTCTGTTAGTACTAAAACAATTTTTAAAGAAATCAACATTTTGTCTGTTTGCACTAATCCATGCCACTTTCTTAAACCTTAATTTGTGTTTGGTTTATATGTAAACCTCTAAAACTTCAGAAGATATAATTCGCCTCATGAGAACAGCAACAGTAATTTTCCCTAATATTTCACAAGGTGAGTTCCCTGAAATCCAGATGGACCAACGGCCTCATGTTAGCTATAATCTCTTCACCTGTTACCACTGATACTACCTGACATCCCTTCTCCACTCCACCCAAAAGGAGAGATTTCGTAACAGTAAACGAAAAAAGTATTAGAAAGTTTTACATGAATAGCTATACTTTTTGTTAAGATGGAGTTCCACTCTTGTCGCTCAGGCTGGAGTGCAGTGGCACAATCTCAGCTCACTGCAACCTCTGCCTCCCAGGTTCAAGCAATCCTCCTGCCTCAGCCTCCCGGGTAACTGGGACTACAGGTGCCTGCAACCATGTCCAACCAATTTTTGTATTTTTTGTAGAGACGGAGTTTCACCATGTTGGCCAGGCTGGTCTCAAACTCCTGACCTCAGATGATCCACCCACCTCGGCCTCCCAAAGTGCCATGATTACAGGCGTGTGCCGTGGTGGCTGGCAAAGGCTATACTTTAAAGTGGTTTTCAAGTGCTCTAATTCTGCTCATTATCTTTTGAAAGATAGTGAAGGGGCAAAAAGACATCCCACTTAGAGGAGAAACCTCGATAATGCAGAAATGGTGGGATCTGGTTAACTTTACACATGTAGAAAACTTTATGTCAAACCACAAGGTAGACTGATTCCAAGTCCCTCTGAGGATTCAATTTTCATTGTGTAGGCACAGGAGGTGTAGGACAGGGGCTGACAACCTTTCCAATGCAAGCTTAAAAGCAGTCAACATTTTGCTTTTCCCACCAATGGAGTGCAGGTGATTATGGGATAACGTGCTTATCTCAAGCTGGAAGCAGAGAGAGAGGGTACACATTTTAGAACCATAATAAGACTTTCAGCTTATTTTGCTGTGATTTGCCTCTCTCTTTCACCAAAATTTCTAATACCTGCTCGTTATTTTTTTAAAAAATCAGTTAACACAGAAAATTACAATAAGTCAAAATCATCTATAATCTTACCACCCAGAGATAATTACTCTTAATGTCTGGTTGTATACCTTTCAAATTTTTTTCTATACATACACATACATATGTTTTTGGGTATTTTTTTGTTTTTAGAA